CTTCTAATGTTTGGTCTTTGACCTGGGTTTCCTGAGGCAGGGCGCCTGAAATGCTTGCAATTTCCTGGGTGGTAGGAGGATCTTTGGTTCTAATGAGACGATTTTGGGTGGGCTCCTGGGTGTCTCCGGGATTGGTCACCATGATCAGAGGCTTGGGATTTTTCTGCCTTGCCCTGCATTCTCTTGAGAAGGGAAAAGGGCTGAAAATGGAGTTATGATCCATCATGCCTATGTCAGGAAGCCTCCATAAGGTCCCAGTGGAACGGGATTCAGGGAGCTTTCAGGCTGGTGAGCATGACACTGAGGCTCCCATGCTCGGGGCCCTCCCAGACCTCGCCCTGTGCTCTCTTCATCTGGCTGTTCCTCTGTATTCTTTATCATAGCCTTTAAAAACCCAGCAAATGGAGATGTTTCCCTGAGTTCTGTGAGCAGCTTTAGCAAATGAATGGAACCCAAGGAGAGGGTCATGGGAACCTCTGAGTTATATCCTGTTGGTCTGATGCTCAGGTGACACCCGGGACCTGCTCTGACCTTGGAAGTGGGGGAGGGGTGTCTGGTGGGACTAAGCCCTTAGCCTGCAGGATCTGATGCTGCCTCCAGGTAGATGGTGACAGAACTGAGTTGAGCTGCAGAACACCCAGCTGGTGTCTGAGGATTGCTTGTTGGTGTGAGGAAACCACACATCTGGTGACTGGTCGTGTGAGAAGTTAAGTGTTCTGTGTGAGAATGAGGAGGTCCTCGGAGGACAAATGCCCAGGACCCAGAACTGAAGTTTTTTCCCTACAGCAAAAGGGAAAGTTGGGGCTTTTCATTTTTAGAAATAATAGATTTTACTTACTTAGTATTCTTTTATATATCTTACCTGATAGTAGATTTATTAGTTTTACCATTTTTCTCTTTTTTATATGTGTTGATTTATTCCTTCTAGTTTCTCTAGTTTTTTTGTTTTAATTTTTTTTTTAAGATTTATTTATTTATTTGACACAGAGAGAGAGAGAGAGAGATCGAGAGAGATCACAAGTAGGCAGAGAGGCAGTCAGAGATAGAGAGGAGGAAGCAGGCTCCCCGCCGAGGAGAGAGCCCAATGTGGGGCTCGATCCCAGGACTCTGGGATCACGACCTGAGCCGAAGGCAGAGGCTTTAACCCACTGAGCCACCAGGCGCCCCTTGTTTGAATTTTTTAAAAAGACTTTATTTTGGGCACCTGGGTGTCTCAGTTGGTTAAGTATCTGCCTTTGACTCCAGTCATGATTCCAGGGCCCTGGGATGGAGTCCCACATCAGGCTTGCTCAGTGGGGAGCCTGCTTCTCCCTCTGCCTGCTGCTCCCCCTGCTTGTGCTATCTCTCCCTCTGACAAATAAATAAAATATTTAAAATAAATAAATAAATTAAATAAATAAATATTTTTAAAAATAGTAAAATAAATAAATAAATAAATAAAATATTTTTAAAAATTTAAAAAGACTTAAGTAATCTCTACACCCAATGTAGGGCTTGAATTCACAGCCCTGAGATGGAGTCACACATTCCACCAAAGCCAGCCAGGTACCCCCTAGTTTCTTTAGTTTAAAAATATTGTTCTTTTTCTAACATCTAGAGTTGAATGCTTAAACTATTTTTCATTATTTTTTGCTTATTAAAAATAATACTTGACTATGAATCTTTCTAAGCAGTGTTTTAGCTTTAGTATTGGTGCTATTGCTCTCAGCTATCAAATTTTTTCTTTGACCCAAATGTATTAAGAGATTTTAGAAAATGATTTAGGTAACAGGGTTTTTTCCTAATTTTTATAATTAATTCTAATTGTTCTGACCAGAGATCAGAGAAGGTCATGTGTAGCTTTTGTCTTTTCCCTCAGGCAGTCTTTGTGTTCAATGCAGAACTATTCACAGAAGGATGCAAAAGATGTGTTCTCCGGGTGCCTGGGTGGCTCAGTGGGTTAAGGCCTCTGCGTTCGGCTCAGGTCATGATCTCGGGGTCCTGGGATCGAGCCCCGCATCGGGCTCTGCTTGGCGGGGAGTGTGCTTCTTCCTCTCTCTGCCTGCCTCTCTGCCTACTTGTGATCTCTGTCAAATAAATAAATAAATAAAATCTTAAAAAAAAAAAAAAAAGATGTGTTCTGGAACTAACAAGAAAGAAGAAATAAGAAAAAAAACTTCTGTATTTACTTAAACAAAATTTTTTTTTTAAAGATTGTATTCATTTGAGAAAGAGTAGAGCTTGAGTTGGTGGAGGGGGTAGCATGGGGCGTGGAAGGTTCAGACGGAGAAACAGACTACCAACTGGCAGGGAGCCGGACACAGGGATCATGGACTGAGCCAGAGATGCTTTTCTGACTGAGCCACCCAGGAGCCCCACTTTAAAATTTTTTTTTTAAGATTTTATTAATTTATTTATTTGTCAGAGAGAGAGAGAGAGCACAAGCAGGCAGAGCAGCAGGCAGAGGCAGAGAGAGAAGCAGGCACCCTGCCGAGCAAGGAGCCCGATGCGGGACTCAATCCCAGGACCCTGGGATCATGACCTGAGCCGAAGGCAGCAGCTTAACCCAGGTTAAGCTGTTTAAGTCCCATAAATTTTCTAAAAATTTATTTATTTAAGCAATCTCTACACTCAACATAGGGCTCGAACTCACAACCTCGAGACCAAGAGACACATGCTGCGCCAACTGAGCCAGCCAGGTGCCCCTGTATTTACTTTAATTAAGAACTGTCAATAGTACAATTATTTCATTTATGAATAAGCAGTTATAAATTGTGAGTAAAGGTTTCTAACTGATGGACTAGCCAAATTTATGGTTAATGTGCTTGACTATCTTACAAGGACTTAAAAATATATATTCTTTGTTAACAGTGAATAGAGTTTACGTGAATCAATTAGGTCTGCCTTATTTTTTATATCCTTCAGGCTCTTTTAGATGTAATTATTATTTTTCCCTATCTGACTCACCATGAACCAATATGAGTGAATGAAAGCCTCCTAATTCCAGAATGTTTCTGTCAATGGCTTCTTGTATTCCTCGGAGCATTTGAATAACATTTTCTGAGCTGGGCTACTTGGTATGTTAGACTATACCTTTTGTCGTTTATGACTGGCCTTCCTTCATCACACCTGAATACTCTGTCCTAAATGCAACCTCCTCTGATGGTGACTTTGTAATCTCTGCTTTCTCTTTGTTTTCATTTGTTTGGCGTGTCTGTGTCCATCTTTTACTACAGTATTTAAGTTACTTTATTTTGGACCCATCTCTTTTATGTGACATATAAATTGGGTTTTGCTTTGTGATTCCACCTGAGTTTTTAAAAATTATTTTAAATGATCATTAAATATATAAAACATAAATTTTACCATCTCAACCGTTTTTAATGTATATATATTTCTAGTTTTAATTTAAATTCCAGTTAGTTAACATACAGTGTAATATTAATCCCAGGTATACAGTGTAGTGATTGCTTCCATACAACACCCGGTGCTCATCACAAGGGCACTCCTTGATCTCTACCACCCAGTTCACCCATCACCCCTCCCCACCTACCTCCCCACCAGTGACCATCAGTGTGTTCTTTGTAGTTAAGAGTCTGTTTCTTGGTTTCTCTCTCTCTTGCTCTCTTTTCCCTTTTGCTCTTTTGTTCTGTTTCTTAAATTCCACATACAAATGAAATCTTATGGTATTTGTCTTTGTCTGATTTACTTCGCTTAGCATAATACTCTTTAGTTCCATCCATGTCATTGTGAATGGCAAGATCTCATTCTTTTTTTTTTTTAAGATTTTATTTATTTGTTTATTTATTTGTTAGAGAGAGAGAGAGAGAGAGAGAGAGCACAAGCACAAGCAGGCAGAGCAGCAGGCAGAGCCAGAGAGAGAAGCAGGCTCCCTGCCGAGCAAGGAGCCTGATGCAGGACTAGATCCCAGGCCCCTGGGATCATGACCTGAGCCGAAGGCAGCAGCTTAACCCACTGAGCCACCCAGGCATCCCAATCTCATTCTTTTTTATGGCTGAGTAATACTTCCTTGTATGTATATGTATATGTGTGTATATATATGTATGTATGTATACCACATCTTCTTTATCCATCATCTGTCAGTGGACATCTGGGCTCTTTCCATAATTTGGCTATTGTAGATAATGATGCTATAAATAGTGGTGCCTGCGTGGCTCAGAGGATTAAGCCTCTGCCCTCAGCTCAGGTCATGATCTCAGGGTCCTGGGATCGAGACCCACCTTGAGCTCTCTGCTCAGCGGGGAGCCTCCTTCCCCCTCTCTGTCTGCCTGCCTCTCTGCCTACTTGTGATCTCTCTCTCTCTGTCAAATAAATAAATAAAATCTTTTAAAAAATGACACTGTAAACACCGGGGTGTGCACATCCCTTTGAATCAGTATTTTATGTTCTTCTGTTAAATACCAAGCGGCGCAGTTACTGGATCACACGGTCATTCTACTTTTAATTTTCTGTGGAACTTCCTTATTGTTTCCCACAGTGGCTAAACCAGTTTGCATTCCTAGCAACAGTGTAAGAGGGTTCCCCTTCCTCCACATCCTCTCCAACATCTATCTGTTGTTTCTTATGATGGTAATTTTAGCCATTCTGACAGGTGTGACATAGCAGCTCATTGTAGGTTTGGTTTGCGTTTCCCTGATGAGGAGTGACGTTGAGCATCTCTTCATGTGTCTGTTGGCCATTGGGACGTCTTCTTTGGAGAAACTCTGTTCATGTTTTCTGCCCATTCTATAACTGGATTATTTGTTTTGGGGTGTTGGGTTGTATCAGTTGTTTATAGATTTTGGATACTAGACCTTTTATCAGATATGTCATTTGCAAATAGCTTCTCCCATTCCGTAGGTTGCCTTTTAGTTTTATTGATTGTTTCCTCCACTGTGCAGAGCTTTTTATCTTGATGAAGTCCCACTAGTTTATTTTTGCTTTTGTTTCCTTTGCCTCAGGAGACGTGTCTAGCAAGAAGTTGCTACAGCCAGTGACAAAGAGGTTATTTGCCTGTGTTCTCCTCTAGGACTTTGATGGTTTCCTGTGTCACATGTAAGTCTTTAATCCATTTTCAATTTATTTTTGTATATGATGTAAGAAAGTGGCCCGGTTTCATTCTTCTGCACATACCAGTCCAGTTTTCCCAACACCATTTGTTGAAGAGACTTTTTCCCATGGCATATTCTTTTCTATTTTGTTAAAGATAATTGACTATAAAGCTGTAGTGATCTAAACAGTATGATCCTGGCACAGAAATAGACCTACAGATCAACAGAATAGAAAACTCAGAAACGAACCACCTCCACCATTTTTCAGGCAGTGCGGTGGTGGTAAGTACATTCAGTGTTGTGTCACCCATCTTTAGAACTCTTCATCTTACCAAGGTGAAACTTTGTCCCCACTAAACGGTAACTCTGTACTCTTCCCCAAGCTCCCAGTACTCATCCTTCTGCTTTCTGTCTCTATGAAGAGTACCCGTCCTTCTCCTTTCTGACTGTTCTGAGTACGTCATCTAGGTGAAGTCATTTAGTATTTATCTTTTTGTGACTGGTCTTATTTTACTTAGCAGAATGTTCCTAAGTTTCATCCATTTTGTAGTATGTGTCAGAATTCCATCCCTTTTCACAACTAAGTGAGAGTGCCCTGTGTATATATCGTCATTGTGTTTATCCGCTTCTCCACTCGCGGATCTGGGGGTGCTTCCACCTTTTTGGCTGCTAAATACTTGGGTATACAGACACCCCTTCAAGTATCTGTTTCTAATTTGGGGGGGTATATATCCAAAAATGGAATTGTTGGATCATACAGAGGTGCCATGTTTAATGTTTTGGGGAACCACCATAATGGTTTCCACCGCAGCTGCACTCCTTCCATTCCCATTAACAGTGCAAAGGGTCCTGATTTCTCCGTACCCTCACCAGTACTGGGTACTTTATGGTTTGTTAGTGGTAGCCCTCTTAATGGGTGTAAGGTGGCATCTCATTGTGCTTTCGGTTTGTTTCTAGTAGTTAGTGATGTTGAATTGCGGGTCCCGCCCTCAGTCAGGGGAGGGGATTATACAAAGGTGGGGACACCAGGGCTGGAGATTATTGGGAATCGTCTTATCACCAAAGCTGCATTTCAAAAATAAGTAGAACAGAACTCTATGGAAGACATTAGAATGCATCATATGGAGTAAGAGGATGTATTTTTTAAATGAAGGTCTGTCCAGGAATACAAACGTATCTGCCTGTGTATGAGTGAAGAAAGTGTGTTTCTTACTGGTGGTCCAGAAAAAAAACAGGTTGAAAGCCGCTGACCTGGGAGATCTTCCCGCAGACACGGAAGAGAAGACTGTAATTGATCTGCGTGTGAGCCCAGGCCCCGCGGCTTGTTGTCTGCTGGTTGTGCTCCCATGGCAACCGTTTTTCTTCATTTCTGCTCTCGCACATAGTAGCCATCACAGCATTTACATTTTCAAAGAACTTACATCAGTCTATTTCCTCCAAGGTTTTCTCATCAAATACTCTGAAACTTAACAAGCCTTGCTGGATGACATAACTGTGGGGAGCAACTGCTTGTTCTGCCTGTTTTCCTGCTCTCCCAGCTACGTGTGAGGCCTGCCTGGGGTGTTCTCATGGTGTCTGAGCTCCCCTGCCTCTGTCGAGGTTTGGCGTTAGAATTCTATGTTATATGTCTTATGGGATTTGCACTTTCTGTTCCTAATTTCCCCACTATTTTCCTAAAGGTTAAGAGAAAAAGAAAGGTCTGAGAAGTCCCAACTTTGCCATCTTAAAGTCTTGCTTTCCTGAGGCAGCCCTAATTTCTGAAATGGGTCCCAGTGTTCTCCCACCATGGGTATGGCCACCTCTGTGTCCTTGCCTTCCTGGGCTGTGGCCCCGTGAAACTGGCGCAGCAGGCTGGGCTGAAACTCCTCAGGCTACACTGAATGCCAGGTTTGGGAGGGCTGGTGCCCTCCACCTGCTTGGGGAGCCCTCACTTCCACCGCCTTGGCTCCTGGGCTCACTCCCTCCAGGGCTGGGGCTGAACCTCATTCCTCCCAGGGAGTGTCTCTTCTCCCCCATCTCCTCCATCTCTCCTTCCAGGGAGCGGATAGTTTTTGTTTCTTTTTTCTCTTCCTTTCCATTAAGTGTCTATTTATTCATGAGAAATCATGGGATTTTTGCCTTTTCTCTACTTTCTTTCCAGCTTGAGGAAACACACACATTGAGCCTGGAGGCCCCACGTTCCCCTTCCTGCCCTCCCCCTGCAGCCTGAATGAGGGGCTTCTCCTCCCTCTCCCATCTTTTTATCTTCCCCCACTCACCCCTGTTCTCGACAGCACATGATTGAGGGGGGGCACTTAAGAGGATGCTCAGGATTTGTTCCCACTGCTTTCCCCTTATTTAGGGGAGTTTTCTGAGGGTAGACACTTCTCCAAGCCAGGCCTGGCTTCTGTTTCTTTCTCTGACCATCACTTTTCAGAAATGATGGCTTCCAGTGTCCCTTATCCTCGCTATCTGTCTGAGGCCCATTTCTGTCCTTGTATTTCTCACTCTTGCCATTGGAGGTGACGTAGAACCTTCCCTGCAAGTTCTAAAAAATTATTTTCTATAAATAATAGAGGGGTTATTCCCTTTTCCAGAAGTGCCATGGTCGCATTCTAGCCCATGGGGGAGGCTCGCACACGCACAACTCAAAACAAGCCCTGTCCTGGGAAGGACCATCTCTCATGCCCAGCATGAGAAAGATGCAACATTGTGTGATTTCCTCCCCCCTCCTCCTGTTTTCCCTTCTTCCTTACGCTTCCTCGAAGGAAAATAGAGAAAGCTCCGTTATGCAAAGAAGTGCCACACGGAAGGAGACTGTGGGCAAACTGGGTTAGCATTGCCTCAGGGGTATAAGCCACGCCAGGGGAGAACTGCAGGAGGAGAAGCACTGTGGTCACCGTCCCCTCAACACAGAAGCAAAGGAGTTGCCTGGGTCATGTTTGTGAGCGTCTTGCTGTACAAATGGGTCAGGTTTTGTTTGTCTCTTTAGGTAACTTGGGGGTCACTTTAAAAATCGCAACGTGGTGACCCATGGGGATAGGCATAGCTTTGGGACACCTTGCTGTGGGTCTTATCAAGGAAGACCCTGATTCTGTTCTCACAAACTACCCTTCCAAAGAAGAAAATAAAACACAACCAAGTCTGTGTGTGTAGAGCTGCGACGACAGAATGACGAGCACGTAGACACGGTTCCTCTGGAGCCGGGCCACACACTCCTCCCCGGGGCCGAGGTGAGGAGCTGGGCAGCGAGCAAGCATCTGCCGGTAGGAACCAGTGTGCAGGGCTGCTGGCGGCAAGGAGATCACAGAAGTGCTGATAATTATGCTAAGCTTTTTTTCAGTGTGTACAAAATTAGGAAAAATTACAGGCATACCTTGGAGATACTGTGGGTTTGGTTCCAGATCACAGCAATAAAGCGAATATTGCAGTGAAATGAGTCAAAGAGCACTTTGGTTTCCCAGTGCACGTGAAAGCGATGTTCCCAGGGTACTGTGGCCTACGGAGTGTGCAGTCGGTGTGTCTAAAAACAGTGTTCATACCGCAATTAGAAAATACTCTGTTTTTGAAAAATGCTTACCATCATCTGAGCTTTCAGGAGCCATAATCTTTTTGCTGGTGGAGGGTCTTGTCTGCTGTTTAAGGCTGCCGACCCATCGGGGTGGCGGTAGTGGTGGCCGTTTCCGAAAGTAAGACAACCCTGGAATTTGCCGCATGGACTGACTCTTCTTCCAGGACCAGTTTCTCTGTAGCCCGTGATGCTGTAGAACTTCTTTCACAGCAGAAATTCTTTCAAAACTGCAGTCCATCCTCTTCAGTTCTGCTGCTGCGTTACGGCTACTTTCGCGTGATATTCTGAATCCTTTGTTGTAGGGTTGAAGGTTCTTGACTCACATGGTCAGAGAATGAATCTCGTGGACACAACAGGGCGAAGTGAAGTACAAGTTCATTAAGCGACGCTAGGAGCAGAAAGGAAAGAAAAAGCTCTCTAGAGTGAGAGGTCCCGAATGAGTGGCCCTGAGGGGTTTCAGGGCCAATCTTTTATTGACAACTTGGCCAGGAGGCTTGCAGTCTTGAGATTCTGGTGCCATCTTGGTCTGAGCGAGGACTGTTGATAACCCCTCAGTGGCTCACTTTGAGTAATGGCTCACTTCTTTGTCATTTTCTGTCCTTACTATGTAGCCACCAAAGAAAAACACTCCCTAACACCCAGGGCAGGGTAGCCTGGTTTGTTCCCTTCTCTTGTGGTCACTTTGACTTAGGCTTTTGCCTGCCAGGAATAGTTTCGGAGCCCAGCCAGGGACACCCCCCCCCATACCTTAACCCTTTCCTTACTCTGCTGTCACTTCAGCAGTCTTCACGGCATCTTCACCGGGTGTAGATTCCATCTCAAGAAGCCACTTTCTTTGCTCCTCGGTAAGAAGCAAGTCCTCGTCTGTTCAGGGTTGATCACGGGATTTTAGCAGTTCAGTCCCGTCTTCAGGCCACACTTCTGATCCGCTTCTCCTGCTGTTTCCCCCACATCTGCAGTCAAATCACACACAACATTTACTGAGTAGGTTTGCTGTCTTATGTGTGCCTAGTTTGTGATGCCCCCAAAACAATTGCAGTGATGACATCAAAGATCACTGGTCATAGGTCATCGTAATAAATATAACAATAAGAAAAACTTGGGAATATTGTGAGAATTACCAAAATGTGACACAGGGACGTGAAGTGAGCAGATGCTGTTGGAAAAAGTGGTGCCAGCAGACTTGCTCGATGCAGGCTTGCCACAAACGCTCAATTAGTAAAAAGCACACGCTCTGTAAAGCACAGGAAGGCAAAGCAGTAAAAGGAGGTGTGTTTGAATAAGCACGGAGCGTCATCATGACGTGAGGCTGAAAAATAAGAGTGGGTCTGCTCTGTGGCAAATCTGCATTTTGTGAGTTTCGGGGTTTCAGGAACATAAGGTGGTGCTCCAAGACACTCACCAGTCACTTTCAGAAATAAGATTCTAATGACTATTTTTACTAGTGCCAGTTC